GTATAGCGTAGACACGCCCAGGGGGACCTAGGACCCTACTAAACACAGGGGGGGGGGTTGAATTGAATGATCAATTATTAGACCCGGACGCGCCAACACTTGCTTGGCAAGACAAACTCAAGGTATCCCCTAAAGGGCTACCTTTCGTGATATGGAGTTGGACCAAGCGAAGGCTTCAAGGAAGATCGCTGCCGCTTCCTTGAAGAATCTGAGTCCGTAGTGACAAGTAGTGACTACTAAAGCCACTCATTCATTAGCCACCTCAAGCTACTTATTGAAGCTTAGCATCGCTAAGCGACTTATAAGCTACTTAAGGCCGCCATTTTATAAGGATAGGACGGGGTAGGCCGCTAGGTGAGGTAGCATAGTAGCTTACAAGTAGCAAGTAAGGAAGCTTCCTAGCCACTTGAAGAAGCCCGAGCACTATTCAAATCATTTGGTTCCTGGATCTTTGGGGAAACTTATGTGACCAACTTAACATTTCCTCCTTAGGTTGCTCGGTTGCTCGGTTGCTCCGGGCTGAAGTCCCTGAGTCTCTGACCGAGGCTTCGGTGTTGCCTGGTGTGATGATGCCGCTGTAGGATGAGGCCTCTGCTCTTGTTCATATATGTACGCATGGAGAAAAACAAGAGAGAGAGAGAGAGGAAAAAAGGAACGAAAACCTAACCTTGGCAACTTGGCCAAGAACAGATTTGCCAAACAAAAAATTGAAGACATGTCAAAGGCGGAGACTGTCCAGTCGGCGCCTGACACTAACCAGAACAAAGGGCAAGTGCGAAGACTGGAAATCATCTCCAACAAATCTTTTCTGTCCAGTCACATTGGCAGCCCCCTCCATGAAGTTTCAGATCCCTTTTTCAATTTGCACGCTTCTGCTACTGGAGCTGTCCATGCGGAAAGACTACACCACCGATCACCAATCTGTTCCACACATGAAAATCAAAATTAAAGACAACGTGTAGTCTGCCCGGCCCACACTTTGGACACTTCTGCTGACAGGGTGAGACATTGTGTGAAACCATGTGTTTGAACTCTGCATAGCTCTTTCGCCTAAACCTTGCGCGTCTGCACGTTCATTTTTGCTTAAGTTGCCTGGCTCTCACTGTCAAGTTCGGGGTTTTTGAACTATTACCATGGCGTTTTGGCAATACAACAGGTGCAGCCTGTGGCCAATAGTAGCTTTGATGTTTCAGGGCACTGCGGTTGAAACACCAAAGAAGAGCCTCTCGAAGCATCGATGCCGAAAGTGGATGGAACACCACAAAGCTGCAAGTCTGCCGAACTAAGTCCGGCAACTCTGGCTGCCTGTGGGACAACACAATGATGGGAAGCGTTCCATACTGTGGATCTGCTCGGATGGTCTTCACAAGACTCTCGATTTCAAGATCAGCCTTGCTCATGTCTACCATCAAAGCATGGAAGAGGTCTTTGCTGAGTCGCTTCCACATATCAACGGTTGAGCACGTGAAGCAAATGGACATCTCATTCACTGCACACATTAAGCTTCGCATGACCGACTTCCTCACTTCAGACTGGTCAGTGAGAATCAAGACGGATCTTCCATCGACTGCCTTATGGAAGGCTTTCATCAATCTTTGGGCTTGGAGCTTCTTGTCGACTGGGACTTTCGGCTCCCGCTCCAAGCTGCTGAAATTCTCAGAGCCTGCCTTCAACTCAATCGTGGTGGACATCTCTGACAGCTCTGGCTTTCCAGCCGCTTCTTTTGAATCATCCCGCTTTGATTTCGGAATGCTTGGCAAAGACGGCAAGGATGGTGTTTTCGTGATTGATGTCGGTTTGCTGGGCTTCCTATCCTCCAACTCAACCTCTGTCTGGAAAAATACGCTACTGGCGGGAGCTGATACCGAATGCGAGAGGGATAGAGGTTGTGGCGCACAGTTTGACGAAGGCTCAAGTAGCTCCTCCAGTTCTGGCAAGACCTCTTCAAATCGAGCATTGGGAGGAACCGTTTGCCCAACTGGATTGCCTGAACCACGCCATCGTGAACCCCCTCGTTTACGCCGTCCAAGCGTTGACCTATGCTCCTTGAGAGCAGTTGGGTCTGAATAGATCCGGCGCATCATCTCCACGCCAGGACCGCAGGTCGCAGGGCAGCTATTTCCCAAGCTTTCAAGGACACAGAGTGAGCTTGGATTCCTCACAGAAATCTGGCAACACTTACACATGCCGCTCGCAGATTTTAGGGTTTTGACTTAGCCAAAGCTCAACAGTTTTTCCCCAAAAAGAAATAAAGCTTGAACAGCTGAGACTTTGTCAAGCAGCCTCTTGTTTGGTGGCAGCCGGCGGTGATCCAAAACAATCTGCAGCCAGTCATCTACATCCTGCAAAGGCTGCATGCGGAAGAAAGAAATGGAAATGGAAATGGAGGAATCTCAAACATTGTGGAAGAAGCCGAAGCCAAACCAGAACATTGCGCAACCCCACTAGCACTCACTGCAAATTTTTGCAGTCATGGCTGTCGCAATAGATTCTAGCTTAGCTGCCCTAGTCTTAAGTAAACGACGCGAGTTATGGTGCGAATCACTCATAGATCTCAATTGAGGACATGCGTGGATGCAATTTCTTACCCTTCTACAGTTGGCCCACCGCCCACCGCATTCCTCCAGCTCAATGGCAGGCGGGGCCCCACTGCTGGCAGGCAAGCGAACGATCTGCTTCTCGGCAGGCCACTGCTCTCGCTGTTCCCGTCGCTTTTGCAGCTTTTCTAGCCTCTGAAATGCAACCATCAAGTATGGTCAACAGTCGGGTAGACAGCCACCAAAAATGGGTACAAAGGCAAGCCCTACCCGTCTCAAAGTACACTGAAAAGGCTTTGACAGAACCAGCGCGTGCTTGTGGTACCAATGCGGCCGAGGGGCTGCTTTTGTGCAGCTGGGCTGGCGCCCTTAAGCCCTGCATTCGCCATGACATCGAATTAGGCTCCTTACATGCAAAGCTACCACGCACTTCAGGTTTGAACCATCTCAGCGGAGAAGACCATCCCAGCCCACTGTCTGTCCGTCCATCCGTCCCTCCATCCGTCCGTCCGTCCGTCCGTCGGTCGGTCGGTCAGTCGGTCGTCGGTCGGTCTGTCTGTCTGTCTCTTTCGTCTTCTTATATTCAATAAAAACTCACCGTTTGACTTGGTCCGATTGTCACACCCAGTGGGACCTTGAAATCTCTAGCTTTACAGTAACTGCCGGACCACTTGAGGAATTCACAAATCTAGCAAGCCTCGGCCTCAGACACACCCATTGCCCTGATGAGTTCTCGCCGCACCTTGCAGCTGGACTAAATTACTGTCTAATTTGCCAAATTCTTGTTACACTCTCGCTATGAATTCAACATCCTAAGGGACAAATCTTGGTTTCTTCCGCGCGGAAGAGGGCCCAATGCGCAGCTCCGTGGGGCGTTTGCCAGCACGTCAGCTGCTTGGGGAAAGATTTGGAAAATACAAAAGGGTCGGTGCAATATGCAACCTGGGAATGAACAAATTTTCATTCATGTTGACTTGCTTACAGTGCACAATGGACGGAAACCTTCTTGCAGCACCACTTGCACATCATTCACACACTGAGCAATGCATTGCAAATTGACATCTCATATGCCACTACATCATAGCGTGGCGCTGAAGGTACTTCAGTGCAGCAAATGGTCTACCGCCTAGTTGTGACGGCGCTGGGGCAGTCTCAGCATCGCCAACCAAAGGCAAGCGCCAAAAAGTTGCAACTCCACCTCTCTCAGTCTGGATCCTCAATCAAGTCTCCTGCGATGGGGCCCATTGTTGTGAAACCAAGTTCAGTCAAGTTGTTCAGGCACCTAGTGCTTCCATCAACTTCAGACTATCTTGGTCAAGCCACGGATGTCTAGGCCAGAGTCCAGGTAGTACCTTAGGTTGAACGGTTGACAGCTCATATCAAAAAAATCAACTCAAGTGCTGCCGAGTATACCCTCCATGTTCTATGGTCTTCTCATTTTCTGGCAGAATCGCCTCAAAACAAGTCAAACAATCATGTGACATCTTCCAAATCTAGCTACCTACCTCACAAGTTCCATGAAACAATAGCATCCTGTGTGACTTCATTGGAGGCCTGCTGCTCCCAAAAGTCATTCTCAGACCTGTGCGCAGTAAAGCAAATGACAGGACCTTCTGGCCTTCACGCAAATCAGTTCAGGAAAAGGTTCTTTTCAGGGCACCTATTGATTTTGAGCATGATGGTGTTCATGGCCGACTCCAACTCCTCAGCCAGGCACGTCAATGCCATCAATGCACTCACTGCACTTATCTAGCCTCAACTCAGGTCTGGGGGCTAAACTCTTTGCTTTGCTTCAAACTCCTCTTTGGTGGCCTTGATGTGCCAGGGTCTCACAGTTGAGACGGCTCACAAACCTTCATAAAATGCGTCATATACATCATGGGCCTTTGTCGCCCCCGTGTCTAACCAAATGTCCACCTGCCAACGGCGGTCCAAAGTCCTACTGCTACTTGATGCATTCTGCACAACCAATTGCCTCTTCCATCTTCTTCTCTAGTCTCTCGCGATCTCGCTTCAAAATCTTGTCCTTTGTGGCAAATGATGTGCAAAACTCCAAACGCGCTACAACAAAAACAACCGCATCGATCACTGCTCTATTTCTGGATCTGAGCCACGGAATCGATCTCTTCCAAAGCCTTCCTGGTTCTTCTCATGTAGACCGTCAGTGACTGGCACGGTAAACGCATGTAAACACACATACGGTCTGTCCAAACTATGGGCAACTCAATCCTCCGGCCTCTCTAGCCATTATTTCACCTCTTGCCAAATCATCTTCGTCCTAGAAGTCAGGCCCCAAGTGAATGTCCAACCGATGATGCGGCAAAGTGCCATCATGTCTAGCATCCATTGCTTCATTACGCATCACGAATCCATACAAATTCATTGCTTTGGATTTGCACCTTGTGGGCCTCAGCATCCTTAAGCATTCGCTCGATATCATGTTGAGACAGGCGGCCTTGATGAGCAAAGGGCTGGTTCACAAATGGATGGAAAGGAATTGCAAACGACGCGCTCAAGTATATAATGTTCTGCATCGTGTAAAGAGATGTACCTGCAGGATCTGGAAACCTCTTGCTGCTTGGCCACCTTTCTCATTTGTAATCTGAATCTCTCCCTTGCGGTGGGTCTTCATGTCCTGCTTGCTCAGGTCGCAGACGGGACTGCACATGACTCATGATCATTCTATCACTATCACCTATGCTGATCCACCCCAAGTCCTCCGCTGTTACTTCCAGGATTCCGTTTGAGTCGACATTGAAAGTGACCTCAACGAACTTGAGCTTAAAGCTGTTACAGTAACATACAGTACCTACTTTATGATGGGGATATGTCAAGCAGGCCTTGATCTTTGGGACACCTCGTAGGGTTTTGGGGATGCTGGTCAGCACAAATTTTCCAAGGTAGTTGTTGTCCTTGGCGGAACAGCAGGCATCAGGGATAAAGAAAATCTCAAATGATCGAATAAGGCGAGGACTTTCACCATTGCTCGCTCTCCTTCATATACCTGCGCCAAATCACTGTCCTTCACTAGCCACACCAAAATCCTCCGTGCCTTGATTTCTACATGGTCCTGGTAGTCTTCCGCAGTGGTGAAATCCTCTCAAAGGCATTGCCATTGACTCAGAGTCTTGCTGTGTAAATCACGTGATGGCCTGCCTGGCTTTTGTTGGTGGGAATTGTACTGTTTCTCTCAATGAGTTTCTGCATCATGCCCCCCGCCATCTCAATGCCTAAGCGCGTGTTCGGCTTCGTCGCAGCATCTGAAGAAACACGACATACCAGCACTGCAGCATGTCTTGTCTGCCAAGTTGCCCAGAGACAATGGCGCCACGTCTAGCAAAAGCATGTTCTCGACTTCCTCCGTTCCTAGTGGGGGTTAGCCAGTCACAAATTCATCCTGACAGGCTCACTTGCAACCATGCCTGTTCCGGACACAATGGCAGCTTGGACCGCTGCTCCGTATGCCACGGCTTCGTCGGGATTGATCTCCTCCAGGTTTTGGGAGTGTGCTCATGTTGAAATCACACTGCAGGCAGTAAACACCCGAGTTTCCCTCCATCCTAATAGCGATGACCTCCACCTAGTAGCTTTTAGCTACAAGTAACACTGGCAGGCAGTAAACACCCAAGTGGCCCAAGAGTTTACTCTGGAGGTAAACAGTTAATTGTTGTCTGGTGGCGGAGTGGGCATCCCACACCTTAGCCTTAGCAAAAAAAATAACTCGTGCTGCAATTGCTGTGTGAACTGTATTTTCCGAAGAATTATTCTAGTTTTAATTGTTTCTGCTTCATTATCGACCACAAGTCAACACATAGCAAAGCAGTTTCACGCTGTGATTGCACGTTTTTCTCCTTTGCCGGTAGCAGTTGACAAGAAAGTATTGAAGAGTGTATCGAGACAGACTATTAACTCTTGTTGCAATTGTTTCTCAACTGCTTCTTCAGTTGGTGCTAACTCTTTGGGATGAACTCTCCACAGGCCTTGCAACATTGGGCAGGGTGGAGTGTAGAGTCTAGAGGGTCATGGAAGACAATTAGCTCTTGAGACAAGAGTGCAGCACAACCGCCAAACTCGTAGCTTTGGTCGAGTTGGCATGTCTTCATTGGCAGCAGCTGTACCATGCCTCATCCACCAGCCTTGCCCAACCCTACCTCCTTTTGAGGTGCGGGGGGAGGGAAGAGGCAAATGGGGGAGATGGTGGCTTGAGCCAAAATGGCAAGGCAAACACCATCCCCCCCCTGTACTGCACATCGAATGTCCTTCGAAAATTCCTACCTCATTTTTCTGCACGACGAGAGCGCAGCACAACCGCCAAACTGTTCGTAACTTTGGTCGAGTTGGTATGCCTTTATTGGCAGCAGCTGTACCATGCCTCATCCACCAGCCTTGCACAACTCTACCTCCTTGCTCAGCGCAAGGCTTAGGGTGGTGCACTTTTGACAAGTCACTTTGTCTTTTCCGTAGCCAAAGGTAAACGAAGACGAACCGAAGGGCCAACCACAGCGAGTGCCAGGTGCATAGCGGTGAGGCAACTGGTTGCCTCATCTTGTCATGTACCAGTCCTGACTTCGATATCACCAGCGGTGGGAGTAGCCCGAAGTTCTGGTCCGCGATCTTGCCCCATTGCTCCGCTGACTGTTCCGGCTTGTCTTGCGCTGCTTTCAGGACTCGCACTTCTTGTTGTGGTTGCTTTGTACTCTTGTCCCACGCGGCCCTCTCTTCCACGGGGTTCACCTTGGCTTCCTTCAGGGTCCAGAAGTTCATTTGAAATTGCAAAGGGGCAGGTGTTCGATGATGAACAGGGTCCATGGCACGAGCATTGGAGTGTCCTTCTGCATCCTGCTTCTTCTGGACCATTCTTCGACACCCTCAGGCCCTCAGATAGAGGGATGTGATGCGGTCCTCTCTTCCTGAATTGAATGTCTTCCTTCATCACGATGGCAACCATCCACATGCAGGAAAAGGCGAAGAGGAGCGCCGGCTTCCATACTCCTCCTTCCGGTTGATCATTGGTTTCTCGAAGTTTTTGACTCCAGCCAGCGATCTTCAGGAACCTCTGCTGACTTCTTTGACGGTCCCTTGGCCCTCTTCAAGGCCCTACTCACTCGCGCAAACATTCTTTCGTGTTGCCGCGACCACAAACCTCCATCTTCGATGAGCATCAGCTTCAACTCTGCTAGGTAGGTCGTACCCGCTTTGTATTGAGCCTCCTTCAATACAGCGCCTACCTTCTCCACGTCGTCGGGCTTTATGCAGAATGCTCTTTTCCCCTCTGCCCCCACCTTGTCCAGGATGCTTTGTACCGTCCTTCGAATTGAAGCCTTCGCCTTCTTCGAAGAGTTCGCCAAGAAGGACTGCCGCAAGTTCTTCAGGGATTTGACTTAGCGGTATTTGTTCTTTGCCAGGATTCCGGCTATCTTACGTGCATGCCCATGTTTCTTCTGTGGAGCACCTTCTTGATCTGATCCTCCGACGGGCATGTTGGGCAGGTCCTTTCTCTTCTTGCTCTGTCCAACCAATCGCTCGTTCATCTTTGCGGGGGGTTCCTTTGCTCTTTACCTTCGGGTCCTCCCATGGGGTCTGCCATCTCCTTCTCTTCACCATCCTCACCAAGCTGTGGTCGTATCCTCTCTCGTCAACCTTCATCTCCTCGTACAACTCCATCTCGTTAGGGGGTCCAAGAGGTGGTTGAGGAGGAAAGGGCTCTTCGAGTTCTGTCTTCTTCACGAGCGTCTCCAGTTGTAATAGCCCGCTCATAGTTTCCAGGATTCCTTGGCGTTCAGCCTCCTCGTCACTAGGCGGCGAACTCCTTGTTGACGCTTCGAGGTGCCATCTGGGTCCTCCAAAGTGGGATCTGCCCTCGCCAGCCTTTCGGGCGTCCAGTCGATCAACGTTGAACCCCCAGCAGGTAGCCTAGTGGGGGAACTGAAGGTGCCGGGGATGGAACCGAACCTGACCCCCAGTTCGGGCAAGCCATGTGCTCGGGCCCACTCTCAAACCAAAGGCCCATCCCTGGGCGCGGCGCCGCGTCGAACGGTACGACGTCCATCTTGATCATGAAAAAGGGCTGCGGTGGACGACGAACACGAACGAACGGACACACGAACCCACCTGGTTCTGGTTTTCAGAGGTCTCCCATCCCCCTTCCAAGCTCCTTCCCCTTTCTGGCTCGCCGTCTCCTCTGCTCAATCAATGGCGGGGTGACCGTGCTGCTGAAAGGGCCGTGGCTTCGTTCCAACCCTCTCATTCATTCGCAGGAGGTTGGCCGGGGTTTCAATTCGAATCCCTGCCAACTCCTTTGGAAGGCTCACCTTGCGCCACGTTTCTGGCCTTGAAAGGTAGTCGGCTCGACATTGGCCGATCCGGGGACGTGCACTGGTGTGAGTTGGCTGAGTCCCATCCTCTCCATTTGCATGGAGACTTCGCCACCCAAGAAGTTCAGGGTTTTGGCGCTGTTCGAGGGACAGCGCTGTCACTGAGTCCCGCCAGGTACTCCACCAACGACAGGCGTGCATGGACTGCGATGAGCCTGCTCTTGTCTCGGCTGTCTTTCCTCATCACCCTTCTCCACGGCGTCTTCGTGGTCGAACAAAGCCGCATAGAGTACTGGCGTCGCGCATCGGGCTCGGATCAACACTCCAGCTAACCAAGACACCTTCCCTGCCAACCCTTCAACTGGTCTTGGAGCTCGTTGATGAACTTCTCGGGCAGGCTGATTAGCAAAGTGCTGAAGTCCTGAAGTCTGGTGGTTGGAGATTGCTTGAACTCCACTCCTAGTGACCCTCATGGATCTCTCCCCCTTCGCCAGGCGGTTGACCTTGAGTCCGAGTGCGGCCATCGTGGTGATTATACACGATAGCAACCCTGTCCTCTTCTGAAGCGCGCCCCACAGGGAGTTGTCCAGGCGCCTACCCAAGTCCTTCGGTACCAGACTTTGAACCAGCCTCGCCACCACTGCCGCCACTCTACTCCACATCAATGGCGCCTAAGCAATGAGGCAGTTCCGACTCACGCACTGCTAAATGCATGTAGGCGTCCGATATGTCTATCAACACCATTTCCATGCCGTTGTTCTCCTCCGAAGCGTTGCTCGCTCGACCAAGCCTTGTAAACTTCTTGGGTCACGTTGATGGCATCTTGTGGCCTCGGAAGAACTAGTCTTTCCTGAAGCACCGCTTTGGTTTCACGATCAAACCCTGCCGCGGGGAGACGGTCTGATCTTTGTAGTTCCTGTCTGCGATCTCTTGCTTGGAGACCGACACCGTGTATCCCAGCTCCTTCAACCTTCCCAGCTCGATCGCGGCGTCTTCACGCTGGAGTAGTTGCCCACGTCGGTGCCCTTTGTCACTTTGTCCTCTCCTGCCACTGATTTGATGCTCTTGTTGATTCCCTTACCCACGCTCCACCTCCGTCTCCGGGTCCGCCCCTTTCCGCCTCCAGGCCGCAATCAACTCTGCATCAAGTGGTGAGGCGTACTCTCCTCTGCCCTTCAACTGGACTGCTACCTTGCCCTTGGCTCCTGTCAGCCTTTGGAGTTCTCCCTTCCAGCCTCCAGCGACTTCGCGTCCATTGAGCAATCAATCTAGGTTTCCCCACCATCGTGCATGCCTGGTGCGGGTCTGCGTCACAGCCTACTGAAGGTGGCGCATGGGAAGCCCACGTGGTACCCATCCACCAGACCATCTTTATAGCCCATTGCAGGCGCATTGGATAGGGTTCCCTCGCCGTCAGGTCCTGGCCCCAATCCCTCTCCACCGAGATGACTTCAACGTCCATGCCCCTCTTCAGGGCTTTTCTTGGCACTTCTCTTCCAAGGAAGAGGGTCGTTGTAGCCTGCGATGAAGCGGAAGCGCCAGGTCCGTATGTACCTCTTCACCTCCTGCCCCTTTTCCTCCAACCTCTGTTTCTTTGGGTTGTTTGGTGTCTTGTCCTTCCGCCCTTATCTTTGTCTTTGCGCCCTTCCTTCTGGTCGTCCTCCTTGTCCTTGTGCTTCGACTCCTTGTTCAGGCCTTCTGTTTGCACTTGTGAGCTGGATGACCTGGCGAATTGCACCCCGTACAACGATGAGCTCTCACCTGATTTTGGCATTCCGCTCCCGCTGGAAGGTTGTAACAGGGTGTGTTGCCATTATTCCAACTGTAGCAAAGGGCCTCTCCCCCTTTTCCCCCTCCCTTCTGAGGTTGATGATGTCAATCTCCACCACCACCAGATGATGCCGCTCCAGCCCCAAAGTCTCGCCAGCTCCTCTTTCTCCGCTTGTATCTTCCTTGTCTTGTTCTCCTTCCTCTCTTTGTTGGCTGCCCTGTAGTGGACGATGATGCATGGCCTGCTGCACCTGATTCCAAAGCTGGAGCTCTCCAGGCCCCCTCTCAATGAGCCCTGTGCCACAACCTCCTGTGGCTTCAGATTGCTCCTCGCCCCGTTCGCCATCCATGTCAGGGCCGGCGAGTGTGCCTGATCTTGCCAGAATCCAGAACTTGACCTCTTGGGGCAATAGCTTGTAGATCGATTCCCAGGGTTTGGAGCTGTCGTACGGTGTGGGGGTTGTCCTCCCTGCTTCGATACCCATCGTCACGCGCAGCTTGAAATGTCCCCCCTTGCCATCTCGTCCGCTGTGCAGATCAGGTGCCAGGCGTCTGGATACAACCTTGTCCCAGGGTCGCCCGCCTCTCGAATGAAGGCTCAGGCCATCCCCCACATGGAAATGCTCCCGCGCGTCGGCGGTCTGGCCCATCGCCAGCCCAACTCCCTCCGCGGGGAGGATGGCAAAGGCCCGCGAGAAAAACGAATTGAACTACCCCCCCATGCCAAGAAGCAAATGGGGGGGATGGTGGCTCGAGCTAAAATGGCAAGGCAGCCACCATTCACTCTTGATTGAATTAAAGTTGTATCCCAGTATCCGTATCGGAGTCAAAAGTCAAAAACTAGACAATTTACTTCATCAGTGATCCAAAGGGTCTCAAAACAATTAAGACGCGAGTTAATTCATCACTGAAACAAATATGGAGAACAATGAAATTAAAACCAGACTTATTGGAGGCAGGAGAGGTGGTGAGATCCCCTATGGCGAAAGAACTATAACTCGGGTTCTAATTCTTTCAATCTCTTACCATTGTGGTTTGAAGCTCTCTTGACTTTACAGTCGCACCTTGCACAAATGCTTCCCATTGAAGAATGAGCTGATAAGTTCCTGGACTTTGGGGATGCCTTGGACACACACACACACACCCGGCTCAAACAAAAACTTTCAACAACAACTGCAAGAATCAAAAGGGCGCAGGTTTCAACGTCAAAAAGAAAGGCCGCAGCGTTGCACACAGGATTGGCCAAACAGTTGGGCTTCTATGGGAGCGACCACGCGATGCAAGCAAAACATTGCGAACATCGATACAGCCAAGCTGCGTGTGGAACCACCCACCAAGACCACATCAGAAATCTTCGATTTGGGCAAGCCACTGTCTCCAAGGCACCTTAAAGAAATGAATTTCTGGGTCAGTTGGCAGTGATTACTCATTGTGTTCCAACTGCTAAGCAATGAGCTGGGATACAGGTTCCATTGCCTTCTTGAAGTAATCCATGCCTCAATGACTCAATGGAAGCTATTCATCAAAGAAGAAAAGACCTAGCGTCCACAAGGCCAAGGTCTTGACACAGTTCTTCGAACTTGGCACGCGAAAGCCGCAAACTGAAATCGGCACCATCGTGCAGGGAGTCCACCCTGCAACATTGCAGTGTGTTCATAAACGAGCGACTTGCAAACTCAAGTGAAACATGTCCTTGGCAAGCTTCTTAAGTGGTCTGGTCCCAATCAGCACGACAGCGGCCAAACTTGCGCGTTTCTCAGGCTCAAACTCAATGGTCACAGATGTCTGCGTCGATAGCTGCCGCTTTGCACGCTCACACTGTGTTCTCAAACGCCGAATGGCACGCTGATTCCTGAGTCCAAATGTCTGTGCAAACTTGGACCGTTTGGGATCCAGAAGTGCCTGCAGAAAGAACAACACGACAGCAAAATGCTGAGCAAACTCTGTCCTGTACATACGCCTGAGAAGGGAAGGGGCGAAAGCCAGTCTCCTTAAGAACACATGAATGTGGTTATGGGGTGAACTCGGCAGCGCACTGGGATTGCTGTCAGGCATGGGGATAGAAGGCAGAGAGGCGGAAAGTCTTGCAGGGCCGGATAGGCTCTTTGTACGTAAGGTTTTGGTCAAGGCCCGATAGCGGTTACAGGATAGAAGTGGAAGCATGCGTTGGGAGAAAGGTAGAGTTGAGCAGGACGTTTACAGTCGGTTTCTCCTGTCTTGTTGCTGGATTCAAAAACTCGGCGCGCTGCCAAGAGTGGCGCGGTCTAAAGTTTACTGCCAAGATCACGTGATTGCCTAACATCGAGCAAAGCCTACTGCTGTTGTGGGGTGAAATCGACATTGCACTGATTCGTGCTGCTAACGTTGGGCGCGGGGAAATAGAAGGCAAAGAGGCGGAAAGTCTCGCATTGAGGGTCGATATGATGGGCTTGACACAAGGTTTTCATCAAGGCCCGCTCACTGTTGTCGGTAATAGGATAAAAGTGGAGCCCTTGCTTTCGGAAAAAGGAGGAATTTACTGTCCGGGGGGATAAAGGTTGAATTGAGCAGGACATTCACAGGTTGGGGTTGGGGGGCGCGCCCTTTTTCTGTTGGCTTCGATGTGTTTTCGAAAAGAAACATGGCAGTGTGAAGTAAGTGGGGGGCGCTTGCCTGCTCGGCGCGCTGCTAAGAGTGGTGTAGTCTAAAGTTTACTGCCAAGATCACGCGATTGCCTTACCATCGAGCAAAGCTTACTGTTGTTATGGGGTGTGTCGACATTGCACGGACCTCTGCTGCTGTTAGGCACGGGGAAGTAGAAGGCAGAGAGGCGCAAAGTCTTGCGTTGAGGGTCGATATGATGGGCTGCCTTTTTCTCTTGGCTCAAGGCAAGCCACGCACAAAACATATTTAATGCGATTTCTCGATCAAGTTGAATACATATTTAGAATGATCATGATAATGTGTGCTTTTATGGGCGCGTTGATTTCGTGATTCTTTCTATACTCTGTTGGTCCAAAAACCATCCTATGGGGCCCCGAAACGGTACAAAAAACTACATTGAGCATGTGACCAAGACTGCTCAAGTCTGCCGCTGGCCGTCATTGGCTTACACTTGGCCTCCCACCCTTCAGGGCAATACTGGCGGTCTGGAAGTATTGGTCATGGCTATCAATCTTTCTGGTCCTAACTCTGACTCGTACAAATCTCGCCGCTTCTGCTCTAACTGGGTGGACACAGCTGGTTAGCCTGATCAGCTCCCTCAGTGCAGGATGACCTCCTTTCCTTGTTTCCTGTCACCCCTACCCGAACTCCCGACCCTTGTCGACAGACTGTCCAAAAAGTCTTCTGAGCCCTTCGCGATGCTAATGATGCACTCTCCGGCGTCAATTGCATCACTCGCATCACCAAAACCACACATTTTCACCACCTTCCTGACCCTATAATCACCTCGCTCGCCCATGACAACTCCAGCCTATCGGCTGGCTTTCGTAATATTATAGTATAAATATATATATATCGAAATATATCCAAATGTATCCTTCTTTAATGAATTGGCACACACTTCTACCTCCTTTGAAGAAGAGTCTCCGAGTTGGATCAGACTTATGCTTGCGGCGAAACTCAGAAATGCAATAGCTGAGCATGCCTCGGGCAAAAAATATGATAAACGCGCTTTCCCCTAGGTGCATCGGTCCATCTGGAGAAAGAAATCGCTGGTATGTGTTCGAATGTCCGTGACAGGCCTGCTGCAAGCTTATTTGGTGTCCACAAACAGTGCCTCCTAGTGACGATTGTCAAAGTCCTCTCCACCCAAGTGGGGGTCGCCTGCCGTGGCCTTCACTTCGAAGACCGCATCAGTAATTGTAAGGATCGAGACCTTCGAGACAAGCATTCGCACATTGAAAACGTGCTGGGTGCGACAAATGCAACCCAGCAGCATCGAAAGTGCCTCCTCCCATGTCAAAAACGAGAATGTGGGTCTCCTTTTCCTTAAAGCGTACAAGGAACTTACCCCACGCCAAGCAAGCTTTATGATAAAGGACCATAAAGAATTCGACGAGGATAAGAACGAAAACACCTTGAGAAACACAACCAGCACCCCGCTTTACAAAGGCAAAGCCATGAACAATCTTCCACAGGTGCTGTTCCAACTAGTTACTGGTTGCAACCGGGACACTCCACTCTTTTTGTCTTTGGATTTTGCGTCCAAGCCATAAGCGATGGCAGCAGCAGTCGGCTCATTGACGATGCGGAGCACGTTCCTGGCCCCACCCATCCAGTAGCCGAATCCGTACGCCGTATGTGTGCAAAGTGGCAAAGTGCTCCGTCAAGCAAAAGCCGCAGAGAATTGGCAGGCACCAAACAAACTAGTCACTGACAAGCTGCAGGCCAGCAATCTCGCCGGCATCCTTTGTTGCCTGCCTCCAAATGTGGGATGTGAGGTGCGATAGCGCTGCAAGTGTCTCATGTTGCTCTCACCTCTGAGAGTCATTGAAGTATGCAGGGACCGTGATCACAGCACTTCGCACGCGCTGACCCACAAACGCCTGGCCGAAGGCTTGAAAAATCAACGGGTCCATGACAAGAGCGCATCATAGTACCTTTCGATTTAGATTGATTCAGCCCCCTTTCATGTCCAGCGGACTCTGATGAGCCTTCCTAGCAGGTCCCGGCCTCGGCGGTCTGCTTCATCTTGGTCAGAATCCTTGAGATCTAAATGATGAAAACTGAGGCAAGGTGAACGCCATCCCTGGCAAAACAAAGCAGGCCCTTCCTTGCGCCAAGTTTCATCGACGAGATCTCTTCTGGGTGAAATTTCTTGTCCACACCCTGGTAAACAACCTCCGCAGGTTTGTAACACAACTGTGTAAACTGTGTAAGTGTAAACCTATGTAAACTAATAGCGATGGCCTCCAACCTGCTAGCGATGGCTTCCAACCTACTGGCGATGGCCTCTGGCCTCCAACCTACTAGCGATGGCCTCTGGCCTCCAACCTACTCGCGGTGACTTCCACATCTCCATATCTCCGTAAGAATCAGGCGCCGCAGCTTTTGGCGGCGGCGACCTTGGCTCAGGGGAAACTACAAACCCATCTCGAAGATATCTCTGCCGGAGAGATATGCGGCTTTGAACTGCCCAAGAAAGTGTTCGAGGCGTCGGAGCCTCTTGGTGTCGAAGCGGACGCTAATGCAATGTGCCCAAAACACAACAATCCGAGAGGAAGGTCTCATGTACGAGGTGCTGAGCTGGATTCCTTCAAGCTTGTAGATGCGGAGCAAAAACCATCTAAACCACTTTATGCGGCCAGCAAGCTCATATTGCTTCGCTTCCTCCTTTGTGAGCAATTGCCACATGGAGCAGCGGTGGGAAGCTCAGATACCACCGCTCCCAGTACGGAACCACGGAACGAACACAACCTCGGCTTGTGGGTTGATCAGAGTATTGGACCACTGGCCAACCATCACCTACAAGCTTATGTGTGCATGTCTGGGGCCAGCGAGGCAATGTTGCTACGGTGGCCTCATGTAAGGGCAGGGGGAATGCAATCTGTGGTGGATCATCGGCGGCGGCCGGAGGATCCTTGCTGACTGCATCTTCACTGACCTCTAGCATGGTCTGGTGGATCTGGTCTCGCAAAATTCGTGCTGCAGCAAGGTCTTGTGTGGCTTGTGGTGGAGGTCTTGTGGGGACAAAATGCTCCACTGTGCACAGTGGTCTGCGCTGCCGTTCCCTGTTGAAAGCCCATTGCTCTATCCAGCTTGCCCTTAACTTACTTTGGTGGCTGGCGATCTTGTGGATCGTGACAAGAGCTCCGTTGGTGGAACGGGCTAACGCATGCAGGACTGTCCAAAGGTCAAGGTCTTTGCGGCTAAGCTTGCACTCGTCGGGATTCGACAAGGCCTGTTGGAGTGTTCCTACCACTTGTGCATTGTCGGACCACAGGCGGGCGGGGTGTCCGTGCCGAAGTGCATATCAGGCAGTGTGCTGGGCAGAGCCTCATGGCGGCCATTCGGTTCGAATCTCCGGTGCGAGGCCCCGTCGTCTGCAAACCCATTTGCCCTAGCCGGGCAAACCCTGTCCGGTTTGTTGGCAAAGAACTCTAAGCCTCCAGTAGCAGAAACAACGAGCTGCGTGCTCATACCTCTAGCATCGATATCAGCGGCGGTAGCCTTTCTTTTGAATGGTTCTCGGATCGGCTGGGATCACTGGCTACCGAAGCAACGATATGCGGCTTGGCCTGTGGGGTGGCCTCATAACTTCTCCCAAACTTGGCGTAGACGGCTTGCTGGAACAATGCAGATTCCTTAGTGTGCGTGAATGGGGCAAGCATTGCATCTCTGGCAGCAAAGACTTCCATGGCTAAGCCTAGAAGGGCTTGTTCGGCGAGCGCTGACTTTGGCGGGACTCCACACACTTCTCAATGGCTTGGACCACCTGCGCAATGTGCCACAGTGCTTGTGCGGGCGAGGCCATCTGGCCAAGTGCCGTGAGGTCAAGGCGAAGTGATGTGGAATCTCTGGATGTACGAAGTGGGCACCATATGCAGAATGGCAACTTCATCAGGGTGGATGTGTCGCATGTTCTGGATTTCATGCCCTCGCACTTGTGTAACCCCATACACTGGAATTAATGCCCCGCACAATCCTTTCTAGTCTAGGCGTTGGGTAGTGAAACCCCGGACCGGCAACCGCATGCACATGCTTGCAGCTGAGACCCCCAGGCATGGAGGGCAGTGGGCAAAGGGGCTGACAGCATTCTTACCAACCCCCCCCGCGTCCGCCATCTTTGGGATCAGGTGCCGAAAGGATGGTTGGAAGTCAAGGGCTGGGAAACTCTGCAACGCAGGCATCTGGAACCCAGGATAATTATGATCACCGCCCACCAACGTGTCCTTTTGGCTGGCCACAAGTCCTGGAGGTGGCAGATCTGCTGCTGACATGTGTACTCAGCAGCTTGACAGAAGGACTTCAGTGCGTCCTGTACCCATGTCGAATGCATTGCCTCCTTTGTGCACTCCAGTACCAAGGCTAGTGGCTGGAACAAATAGCATGCTGCGACCATCCCTTCAAAACTTCGTGCACGAGGGTCCAACTGCTGTCGACCATCTCCAAGCTGCGAGAAGGGTTGACTCGGGTTGACAGGCAAACCTCCAGTGATAACGCATGGCTTCGCAGTATAAGGCAGCAAAGCTAGCTTGACTTCTGTGCTGTCACTGTCTCCTTCAATGACTGTCCGTTGCCGAGCTCGAAGCCAGCCAGCATATTTGGCATTGATTTTTTTGGCATTGATCTCTACATGGCATCGCACATTGCAGCCTATCAAGTGGTAGCCATCTGTCATGATGGCGCCCGAACAAATGTCAATCACATCAGTTGCTCCATCCCGACCGATCAAGCGGTGGATCTGAACTGCGTTGGCATGAGCAGCCAGCACGATGGTCCCTTGGTCAGTCGATTGCATGCTGTGGAATCACGGTACCATGCTCGACCAGCAAGGTGTATGGAGGTACCATCAGGGACTGTCCCCAACCATGGCTCTGGATCAAAAGCAGGCATTGAAAACCCCCTCGAGTTTTCAGCCTGCACGGGCACACCCCTGGTAGGGACTCGAGCCAGCGCCTCGCCGTGACTTCCAACCTAGTAGCGACGGCCTTCAACCTACTAGCGATGGCTTCCAAAATACTAGCGATGGCCTCTGGCCTCCAACCTACTAGCAGTGGCCTCTGGCCTCCAACCTACTAGCGATGGCTTCCAACCCATTGGCGATAGCTTTTTACCTCTGGCCTCCAATCCCAACCTACTAGCGATGGCTTCCCACCTACTAGCGACGGGCTCTGGCCTCCAACCTACTGGCGGTGGCTTCTAACCTACTGGCGACGGCCTCTGACCTCCAACCTACTAACGATGGCCTCCAACCTACTAGCGATGGCCTCTGGCCTCCGACCTACTCGCTTCCAACCTACTAGCGTTGGCCTCTGGCCTCCCACCTACTAGCGATGGCTTCCAACCCATTGGCGATGGCTTTTTACCTCTGACCAACCTACTAGCGGTGGCCCCCGGCTTCCAACCTACTGGCAGGGGCTTCCAACCTACTGGCGATGGCCTCTGGCCTCCAACCTACTAGCGATGGCCTCTGGCCTCCAACCTACTAGCGATGGCTACCAACCTACTAGCGGTGGCCTCCAACCTACTAGCGATGGCTTCCAACCTACTAGCGGTAGCCTCCAACCTACTAGCGGGTACTAGCGATGGCCCAAAATTATGCAAACACATTCATGGTGCGCCCCAACCAACAATTTGACTGCAACATCTTGCCTCGATCAGTGGCTTGTCATCTGATGACCCATCAGACACAACCTTTGTGCAAAAAGCATGCAAATAGTCATTTCTTCGAGAAATCGGACACCCCCATGTCTTCTTTTGTCAATCTTAGGTCTTCCCATACTACTTATTACAAACAAGAGCATTTTATATAAGAGTCTCAGTCTCGATGGGCTATTGCATCATAATGAGGAGTGATGGTTGTCCACAGCAACTCAGCAATGCTTTGCAACTCCCACCTTGAAGGGCCAAAGCTTCAGGTCCGCTTGGACAACAGGATCCTGGAAACTGAAAATGACAACGGCATCTATATATATATATATAGATCGATTGGACCTTTTTGACTTAAAAAGCAAATTCCTATATATATATATAGATAGAGAGAGAGAGAAGGCCATCTTTGTCTCGAACCCGGTCGACCTTCATGCAAAAGAAACATCACAAGAACTCCTGGAACTTTCGGCCAATCAAACGCTTGGCATCAAAAACGGTGTTGGTTGGATTGCTGGCAACCTGCCCAGTGAAACAAGCGAAACAAACACTGTCATGCCGATTCATTCACTAAGCCTGGTTTTTTGCAGCATCTCCCAGTAGCCGTTCGTTCTCCGTCCATGCTAC